TTACTTGGATTTAGCATAGCTACTTTATTTTCAGGAGAGAGGCTTCCATTAGAAAATCATTCTGTATTGAGATAAGAAGGCCAAAGAGACAGTTATTTTTGTCAAGGACATTTAAACAAAACAAAAAACTTTTCTAACCATTTTCACTTACTTCGGGTCTATTAAATGTAATTACATGGGCACTTTTGAGAAACGGTTTCACATTTTTTTTCTTTTTTTTTTCTTTCTTTGAGGCAACACTAATAAGATATTTAAATATCTCCCACCTTCTTTATGGACTGAAGCAAGATGTGTTCCCAAAACTGTTCTACATAAACTTTTGCATGTAGTATAATACATTCCTCCACTCCTACTAGCCATATTTAGTCTTGGTCCTTCATCTTTCCAGAGGTCCTTCTCCAGTCTGTGAAAAGTTTTCAGCTGCTTCATGGGCTTACACACAAAAACTTTTAAAACTGAGGTTTTGAAAAATACTAAACGGGAAACGGAACATGAACTCTCTTTTTCTTACAGTAGCTCTTTATCTTTTAAATATGACATCGGATCCAGGTCATTTAACCTTAAAGGGTTTCTCATAATTCCATATTTCCTGGCGTATTTCCTTTTTAAAATCCATAAGAACAATCCATGATATTCCAAAAAACAATACCTAAATCCATGTAATGGGATTCACAGCAAGTCATGAGAGATGCAGCTGTCCTGGGAAGCAGAAAACTGCAGGGGAGGGAAAAAAGGGGCCCTACTGATTGTGTGTGTGGGGGGGGGGGGGGGGGGTATCGGAGGGAACTGTTACCTCATACATCTTCTAGCACATTTTGACCAAAAGCACCTAGTACTTAAATGCCCCAGAAACTTTTCAAGGGGCTAAGAGGTTATTTTAGCCCTGGATTTTCAGCATTTCCATTAGTCCGCGGGGTAGGTCACGCCAATTAAGGAAGCTGAAGAGTGTGTGCAGACGGGGAGGGTGAGGGTGAGTGTCAGCAGCAGTCCCTGATGCTGCTGTCAGGGCTGATGCACCGATTACAGAAAGTCATATGCAACAGTAAGAATGGTGGACCAATCAGGGATAATCAGCACTATAAATCTCTCCTCAAATATTTTGTGAGATCTCTAACGTATAATCTTCCTGCCAAAGCTGTTATTTGGGGGGGTAGACACACATGAAATTCTCTCGTACAGTCAGGTGAACCCTCAAATGTCCACAATTCTTTAAAAATATTCCAACGGTAAACATGCAACTTTACACCCACATATAGATGGTAAAGCCTTGCACTTCTGTCAATAGCGTGTTTTTTTTGTTTTGCTTTTTTGGGATGTGCATTGACCTATAACATGGTCAAAGGTCAGATTTAGTTCCAGTAGGACATGAAATAATCACCATAATTGATTCTGGTTTAGCTGATGGGAGGCCTCCCATCACTCAAACGGTCTCATTTTGGATGAATAAAAGTTGATGTTTTAGTTATGGCAGTATTTTTCCAAAAGCCTTGAAAGCCATAATGTGCACTCTGGTTGCAATGATAGGAGTGTATGGAGTGTGTATAGGAGTGTATGTGGACGCTGCTTGCTGAATGCAGTACATGACTACAGGCCCAGGGACAAAACCTACGCTGCATTTTTGACAGGTTTCTGTCGGTTTGGTTGGTTCCTAACAAGTCTTTGTGCACAGTCGCCGGCTCTTTTTCCTTTAGTTGGCACTTGACCTTCTGCAAGAGTTTCTCGTCGGCATGCGAGTGCCACTTTAAGCACAGAGGAATATGTTGCAATCAGTTGATTGTGCAAGATTTTGTGTGGGTAATATGCAGATGTGCTGAAGTAGTTCTAGAGAAAGCCCAATCAGCCAATGATCTCTTAAAACTATCCGATGACTCAGTTCAATCAACACATTGATTGATTGATTGATATTCCTTCCATTTTCCGCCATCCTTGATAGAAACACTTCTTCTTTTTTTTTTTTTTAAGAATAAAATGAGACATTATCTTTTCAGTGGCCTGAAATTTGTTCTCATCTAATCATGCTGAGGTGAATTCTTGTGATTTACAAATTCACATTTGTGAGATTTGTTTTTCTTGGCAATCGTTATTGCTTTTGGTTTTCCACTGAAATAAATAACAGTGCACTTGAGTTAAACTATGCCAGTATTCAAGGATATTCTGCTACAATATTGACTTGTTTGCCAGACAGCCATCAGCTGCCCTCAAACACAAGAGATCTCCCATCGTGTTAAATTGTAACCCTGGAGATGGCTTAGCAAATTCAGTTTAGGGTAACTAATTTTCTTTCTTTTTTCTTACTAAAACGGAATGTCCTGGTAGCACAGTGCAGAAATGACCCCTCATGTCCCGGTTGATATTTAGTCTCCCAGCTGGAAGTCTACCTGCTTCATTTCAGCCTCATTCTCTCACACAGATTTTTCTCTGTGCCAGGTTACCGGCCCTGCTGTGAGTTATTGTGGACTATTCACAGGGAACCATGTGGAAGACTAGATGGGGTCTTGATTCTGAAATGTTCTTGTTTGATTATTTCGCTTTTACAAGTTAACATGAAGAATATTCAAGAACATATCATTCTTTTCCCAGTTGATTTCACACCAGTAGACAGACTTTCAGGTTAATATGCAGATGTACCCAGAGTAAGGTTTTTTATCCATGAAGCCTGAAACGGATCGAACCGACAAAATATTCTTCCAGCAAACATGAAGTTGTAATTAGAATTTTCTAATAATTAAAATTTTCGAATGAAGTTGGAATTCAAATGTTCTCATATTTATTCTTGTACAATTCAAGGTTATGCATAATGTAATCAAAAAGCTGTTTATGTATGCCTTGAAAGGCATATTGCTCTAAATATTGTTAAAAGCTTAAAAAAACGAACAAAAAAAAAACGATAGTGCTAGTTACAAATTAAATACCCATTGACCAAACACCTGTAATGTGTACCTGTAGCTTTGCACAAGTTCTCATTTGCATTTGCACCAGACAGTAACCCTGAAAAGAGAACCGGCCTAATAAGTAAAGCTGAGACACCTGTGCCTCACAGGGTCCCAGCAGAGGAGGAAAAATGGTTTTGCTTTCGGCAAAGCAGAGAGACACAGCTGGTGAGAAGAATTATACAATTACCTGTGGAAATGGATTGCTGTTTTTTTATTCATTATCATAAGAGAAACATAAGCATTTTTTAAATTGAAATATCAAACAAATTTCTCAAAGATGTTAGGTGGGGGCGTGCTTTTTTTAAACATTTTTAGCCAGGTCAATTTAAACTTTAACAAAAAAGCTTGAAGAATTCAGGGATGTCTGACTTACAAACTGGACATTCTCTCACCGTCCACCTTACATATTATTACAAATTGAACCTTTTAGGGAATATGTCCTTGATAACATTGTTTTGGGCATCCAGGTAGCCGATGAATTAAAGTACATTTGACAAAGTAATACTAAGTGGTATTCATGGCCAGCTAAAGCTCTCAGAATCAAAATAAAGGCCAATGAATGCGACTGTATTAAACGTACAGTGTGTAAAATCTATTACCTTTGAAGGCTGATAGAGACTTTGTTTATGGAAGGGAGGAAAACTTTCCTTCTGTTATGAAATGTAATTCCTGGGATGTTTCAACTCACTGGCTCTGATGTCTTTCGATGTGATGTTTTTACTTTTTTATTTTTATACTTATTGCTATTGTTAGGGTTCCCCAGTGGTCTGGATATGTCAAATAGTAATATCTGGTAATATTGCCTCACTTGCATAGTGTTTATGGGATTAAATAACATAATTAGGATCCCACAGGCATCCTTGAACTTGGTAAAACTGCCTCCCCCCCCCTCATTATCTTTTAATAGCTTTGTCTGAGGAGAGGCTTACTTTTTTAGACATGAAGAACCGCAGGTCTATGTGGGAGCTGCATGCAGTCTGAATGAGCCTGTTGTGGGAACGCTAATGTACGCTCTGTCCTTGCGTGGGTGACTGCTGCAACAAAACTAAGGGCTTTTTAGTGAGTTAGAAATATTGTCATGAAGCTAAAAGGGTCAGAAAATTTGCAGAACGTTGTAGAGGCTGTTCTCCAGACCCCGAGGCTCTGAGCATGCATGGCTGAATCATACGTTTTAAAATGTTTTTTTTTAAAATGTTTTGACTTTCCAGCACTTTGTTGCGATTGACTTTAAAAATCAGATGCACTCACCGCCCCCTTCTTTTTCCTCACTTATTTGATGCGGAGTTTATATATAGCTACTTAGTTGTGTGGTAGTTTGTGACGGCTGTCTCCAAAGCTACCAACTTCTCACTTCCCACTCCCTTACACGAATAAAAGCATCTGTGCAGGGAAGGGGTGTCAACCTCGCAATCAAAACCAGAGCAAATCATGTTCTAATATTGTTGCTTCATGCAGAGTGAGCATTGTGTGCTTGAGAGAACAGCCCACAGGCTGGTGCTGTTCTATTTAACTTCAACTTCTGCTTATCAGATGACTCTACGTGACTCGGTTGAGATCCGTCTTTCATAGCGTCACAATTAAATAAAAGTGCTGCGGGCGAAGGACACGGATGGTGAAGCTGTATGTTCTCCCACTTTGTTTTTCTTTTCGAAGTAAACATCAAATCAGACACTGGTGCAGTCTCCCTCTCTCCATTTCCCCTGTAAAGCCATGTTGATTTCTTTACTGAAGCAGCCCTGTTGCCACCTTTCCCTGAGTGCATCAGTGTAGCATACTCACTATTCAGAAGAAAACAAAGAAATGTCTTGATTTAAAATGAATGGAATGATATAAAACACAATCGGTCAGAATTGCACTGAACTGACCTTAGTTTTGTACAGAAGTCTATCGTTTTCAAATAGATCTGATATATATTTTTGGAAGAAGTTTATTTGGTTGAGTTCAGTTAGATATATGTAATCTCACAGGTAATTTTTTTTTGTATAGAAGAGACTTAATAAGGACTGTTTAAGTTGAATTGCTTTGTTTCTCTTTTTCAATATCTCAGCCTGATCTTTTTCCCCACAGATTGAAGATATTATTACTCAAATTCAGGATGAGACGGAGGGTGTGCCCATCAGAACTGTCAAAAGTTTCATGACAAAGATCCCCAGTGTGGTCACAGGTAAGGCTCACAGACACAGGAGCTGCACTGTCAGCATCAACCGTGCACGTGCATCAGTGAGGGACGGGAAGTCCTCCGACACCAGCGGAAGACTAAAGAACATCCTGAATAATGATGAGGAGCTCAATTATTTTTGCTTCTGGAAAAGAGAAAAATACACTGTCACATTCAGTTCTCCTTTTCCCAGAAAAATGTGCAGGCAAGAGACTTTACATTAGACACTTTGGAAGATGTGTTTATTCACTTTAGTCAAAAACTAACCTCAAATTGAAACCATATAATTATCCTCAGTGGAACAGCCAGCCACTTTGTTCAAACAATTGTATCTGTGTCTTGTATCTGACATTATTCAGATGTTTTTACAATTAACCAGAGTTGGCGTAGTCAATCTACTTTATGTAGAAAGGCTCTATGCTGTCTGTTTAAAAAAGTCTTTGTTGACAGCTGATGTTGGTCAAAACTGAGTTTAAGCTTTTTACCAGAACTCTGTGTGTTGCTTGTATAAAGGAAACTCGACTCTGAGCATCCCCTCATTGATACTTACCTTGCAGTCAAACATGCTGTTGATTTTCCTGCCTCATGACTTTGGAGAGTCGTTTTGAAAAGAGGAAATTACATAGTGTTGACATATGATAGAGAGAAACATCCAAAGAGTGACTTTCTGAGGTATCTCTCTCCTTCTAGGCTGTTTGCGATGGTGTTGAAGCTTTATGAGCTAAACCTTCAGCTGAGTCACACCACTGCACTGGAGCTGCTTTTCATTCCGACTCCGTGTTGAGGCTCTCTTACTCGTGAAAAGTTTCAGATAGAATGACTGTGTAGCTGGAGGGAAAGTGGGAGGACAACATACGATTAAATGTTTGGAAAAGACGGAGACTGGAATTAGAATGAGTAACACTGTCCTCCTACTTTTCAAGGTGTCCTGAAGCAGAGCGATGGAGCCCCGATAGCCTGAGAAACACGTGTAGGTGTCGGCGTGTTGTGCTCTGTGTTGGCCCACATGAATAAACAATAGAAAAGAGTAGCTCTTTGAACCTGACTGGTGGCCATGGTGCCTATTAGCTGTGATCACTGAAATCGCTTTCTTGATGGAGTCGCAGTGGGAGGTGGGACTAACCCCAAACAAACAGAGGAAAGCTGTTAATATGCCCCATTCTTTTCCCTTGCCTTCAAGGAAGATCGATGGCTCCAATATGCCATAAGCAGAGCATATCAATAAACACAATTACCACAGCCCTGGAATTGATGTGCACCAAAGAAGCCCAAATGTTTGCAGCTTCATGCAAAGGCCAAGAAACTAATGAATGGTGTTGAATTAAACATGATTTTACTCAAGATAGCAGCAGGGAGCATGTTGAGATGATCCTGACTCAAGTGAAACTACAAATCATCTTACCAGAAAAATGATCATATATACATACTGTAATACATATTTTAATCTCCCGAGGATTGCAGGGGTTGTATAAAATAAAAGATTCTTATCTCAGGGTATCATTAAGGCTTTTCTTTCTTAACACGTATATATTTAACTTCCGTACTGTGTCTGGGAAGGTGAGGAGTAATGGAACACACATATACCCCTAAAAGGAAGTTTGACTTAAAAATGCCTTACAAAGCACTCATCCCCCCCAGACCGTCCTCTTAAGTCTTCTTTGTAATCCATCCAACAGTTCTTTCTTTCTTTCTGTCCGACCCAATTCAGGCACAGATATTGTACAGTGGCTAATGAAGAATCTGGCTATTGAAGATCCAGGTATGTTAACAAAATAATTTTTTGTATAAAAGTGAAGGTGTGACATGTTTTCCTTTTGACGTTCATTTTCTCTAAAATACTATAGTGGCTGCTTTTCCGGCAAACAGGTTATTTCCATATTTCCATCTATGTAAACTCCAGCTTCTGCCTCTTTCAGCCAGCCAATTTAATACAAGTTATGTAAATGGTAAACGGATCAGTAGCTTCTCTTTATTCTTTAATTAGACAGACGCATATGCTGTAGTCTTGCTGGAGGTGTTTAATTGATTTGTTTTGTGATTTTGCATAACTTTTTAAAAGTCTCAAACTGGATTTAGTTGTCTTTAATGTTGTCTGGAGTTGATTTGAAATGGCTGGCAGTTAAAGTGGCTCTTGTGGTTCTGTTTGCAGCTGAGGCCATGCACATTGGGAGTCTCATCGCAGCTCAGGGGTACATTTTCCCCATCTCAGATCACGTCCTCTCCCTCAAAGATGATGGCACTTTTTACCGCTTTCAGGTAAGGGCATCTCCTGATAAAGAAACACGGTGTGCAACCTACTTGGGGCCATGAAATCCTACTTTTTTTACCAACTTAGGGCTAAAATCTAATTCACATATTGTAATATTCTGCTGATATATTCAAGTGATTTGTCCATTGTTTTTTTCTCTGCCCATTTTTACCTCTCTTCTCCCGCTTAGTTGTGATGTTGGCATATTTTCACATGTGCAGCTCCACAGAGGTGCTATTTCAGCTTTAACAATGAGTGTTTTGGTTGCTCATGTTTGGGGACTAATTACTCATATGCAGTGCTGTGTCTCAGAGAAACTACTTCTTAAAGGTCACCGTCATCACTCCGCTGTTGTCAGTTGTTGCCTTATAATTGGAGGCAAAGCAGCATCGGCTTACTTTTTGTTTTGTCTGCAGGCACCATATTTCTGGCCATCCAACCGCTGGGAGCCTGAGAACACCGATTATGGTGAGAATCTTTCACAAATACTTAATTAATGAGTGCTCATGGAAAATGCTACATTATTAAGATGCTTCCAGCATTTGAAGCATCTCACTATAATACTTTTATCACAAAAACCTAACGGTGTGTTTAGAGAGAGGACTGATGGAGTTGCAGGTCGATACCACACCACAATATCACAACATCCAGAATTCCGAAAATGCTTTTACCTTAATTGGATCAAATTTCCATCCCACTGGATGTCTCAAATGCTGCTGAAAGCCATTAACTTGCTTGGCACGTGTGTGGACTCTGTTTCGAAGTCTATAGATTTAATGAACAAAAAAAGCTAACAGGGCATTAAACAAAGATTAGACTCCCCTGTAACATAAGCTAAATGCAATAAACAATTGAGTAATATTATCCTTCTTTACACGTCTGAGTCCCTGTTGGTCTCAATGCAGCACCGATCAGGGAATCCTGTTTGCTTAGTATTTTCTCTAAGCAACGCATGAAAGAAGTTGCTGGTGTGTCTGTATATTGCTGCTCTTCGCTTTAGCCCTCGGTGTGTAAAAAATCTGTTTATGCATGAAGTTTTGATACAGAGCGGCAAAAAACCCGCCTCATAGAGTATGTGAAGTGTTAACCAGAAACACTTAACAGGATAGTTTTTTATGACTGACTACATTTCTGTTCTGATATAAAATGAATATATATCTACACACATACATCCACACAGCTTCTCAGTGACATTTGGGAATGACGGGTCTTATCCTGGGTTGTGGAGAAGAACAGCTTACAGAGTAAATCAATTATCTTCCACTTCCTGACCTTCATCATCTCACAAAGACACCGTTGGTTGGAACTTAGGGCTTAGGACTTTAGTGCCACTTGTCATTGTGCCACGTAATCCGTAAGGTGGACGGGCAGCTTGAAAGTGACTCTGCACTGTGGCTGGCGGGGAAAGGTGAGGCAGGCACAAGCAGAATCTGATGCACTATCTGACGGGCGAAGGCGGGAGGAAATGTTTGTGCTGATAAATTCCTGTCATCGATCCTCCCTTCCAGCCATCTACCTGTGCAAGAGGACCATGCAGAATAAGACGAGACTGGAGCTGGCAGATTACGAGGCGGTGAGTGCTGAACTGTTTTCCTCATCGATCACTACTCTGTATTGATCAGTGGATAAAGCTCGGGGCAGAAAACCTCAAACCTCTCAAAGGTTGGACAGCTGCATGCAAGCTCTACATTACGTTAACTCAAACTTTAGTTTGACATATCTTCAATGTCGCGGTCTTTCTTTTTTCTTTGTCCCCCATGAAATACAGTAATATATTTGATATTTCTGAATATTCGCACTTACAGGAGAACTTAGCCAGGCTACAGCGTGCCTTTGCCAGGAAGTGGGAGTTTATCTACATGCAGGCTGAGGCCCAGGTCAAGTAAGTGTGATGTGTTACCAAGGCAACACCTCAAATTAGAGCGCATGCACTGAAGAACAATGCAGTAAAATTTAAGTGACATCCCCTAATAATGAACGTTCCTGACAGAAGTTTCTGAAGTGGAAACGGTGAGAAATAGCTTATTTTTAAACAGGCATCATGCGATTGGACTCCAACCAACAAAAAAAACCCATAAAACATTAAAGATGCTTGACTTAACTACACTACTTGTTATTTACGTCTTTAATATCTATTTTTTTCTTTTACATTTGAAAAAAATGTATTCTGTAGTATAATGTGTTTAAATAATAGTTGTTAGTGTTTCATTACTAAAAAACTCCCAGTATGTAAAAACCATAAAAGTGTTGGTGATTTAACTGTGGAGTATTTCTCTGGGTCTTCCAGTCCTAATTATTCTTATTTCTGTCTTTTGTTTTAACTGTTATCATTGAAAACTGTTGCCTATTGGTCTGATTTCTTAAGGGCTGTGTATTCAGTGACAAATGGCAAACTGTAATTCTCAAACTCATTTCTGATGATACAAGCAATGCTTATACTGGGAAGGCTGAAACTCTCACACAGCCTGATCTCCTCTGCAGAATTGACAGAAAAAAGGATAAAATCGAGAGGAAGATCCTCGACAGCCAGGAGAGAGCCTTCTGGGACGTCCACAGACCTGTGGTAAGCCCCTGTCTGTGAGATTACAGGCGCCCACCTCATCTTCCGTCCGCAGGATCTTATTTATATCACTGTATAAGTGCAATATCTAAATCAGATGAAGTAGATTGAAATGTTGCTCTGCTTCTTTTCTTTGTCTTAGCCAGGATGTGTTAACACCACAGAAATGGACATCAGGAAATGTCGACGCATGAAGAATCCCCACAGAGTTAAGAAGGTAACGGCCTCCTCAGTTTGCCTGAACGCAGGCCTATTCTGTGAAATACCTTCTTAACAGAACCAACTTGAATTTACATCTCAGAAAAAAGGTTTTCTTGACATTGTACCAAAACATAGTCACAGATGTTTCAATAAAAATGGGTTGTACATTTTAAACTTTTTCCTCTCGAATATTTTATTTATCTGTATTTTGTCCCAGTCAGTGTATGGTTTGGCAGAAGAGGGAACGCAGTCCAAGAGTCCCGTTCACACTCCTGTGCTCCTCGGCAGGAAAGGTACCAAAGAGGATGTGGAAAAAGAGGTAAAATACCCCAAAATAAATAACCAGCCATAATATAATGCCGTCCCATTACAGACACAATGAACAATCCTTTCAATTCATTTCACACTGTTCCACTTTTAGAAACCTTGTAAGAAAAAAAGTCTACTTTTTGGGTTTTTGGCACAAATGATACCGAGTACCTGTTACTCTTAACAATGCCATTAATAGACATGTACGTTCATGTAGTTTTTTTTCCTAGATATGCTGAGGCTGTTATTTTTCCGCAGCAGAAAAGCAAATCCGTCAAATTTAGTTCTCTCCCTTTTTCCACAGATTGTATTCTTGAACACCCAACTAGATCGTCACTGCATGAAGATGTCCAAAGTTGCTGACAGGTATGGCAGCTTGGACACTACAAATAAATGTGATGCTGTAGAGGAACTCTCTACCTAACTCTCATCTTGGCTAACAGTTTTAATAAGACAGCAGCTCAACTCGTAACGAGGCTGTCTTCTCTGGTGTTTTTAATCTTGGCACATTCAGCCGTAGCACCTGAAACCCTGCTGTCCAGCTCTGACAGCGACACGTTGGCAGTGCCTTCAAACCTGTGGGGATTTGAATAAGGGCAGCCAGTGCACCAACCTCCATGTGTCCAGAACTGGACAAAATATTGTTTCACTCTGCATTCTTCATCTGTTGAATCAACTTGAAATTCATTGTCTTTGTGTCATTTTGATGAAATTGGCATTCATTGTTTTAAAGTCAAACTTCCATTGCTGGTTCAACATATTCAAGTAACCTATATATATATATATATATATGTCTTTTTTTCTGTTTTCAAAACATTTTTCACCACCAAAAGTAGAGAAAACGACTGATTGAAGACAATTCACTCACTGTTGTTATGGGGCTTTTGAAATTGGTTTCCAACGGTTCACTTGACAACGTAATTGTGCAAGTGTCAAGTTCTTGCTTTTCTCTGAGACTTGGTTATACTTGGTTTAATCTACATGTTAAACACTTTGCTGTGATATAAGTAAAGACAATTAAACTCAAAACTGACTGCAGTGTCAAAGGATGTTGAATGTGAGATTCAAATATAGGAGATATGAGATATGAGAATATATATATATAATTTTTTTTATTATTATTATTTACTCCCTCCCCCTGTTTTTTGTATTCTGCTCTGCAAGCTGTATTTTTCTAAGTAAGTGCAAAATATTGTGGAGAAAATCTACACAGGCTAAGATCTTATTTCTATAAGGCAAAAATTCCTTTTGTCTGAACTGTGAGTTGCATTTTTTTGTTGCTGTGAAGCCCTCTCTGCCTCACTGCATCCCTGGACTATAAAAGAGTAGTGGACGGCTCACATCTGAGCTTTGATTTCTGTAAGAGCAGGTGTTCTTTTTTTCTGATTTATTTATTGTATATTTTCATTTTCATGCCGTACACTGTCTCCTTTTGAAGCCATCCAGTGTCTGACTGACTGACGGCAGAGGGCATGCTGCTCTGGCATGGTAACCCTCTCACTGTTTTCTCCTGTGAGCCTCTGACCAGCTAACGCCTTTTCTGTTCTTCGTTTTGTGTTCTCGTCCATCTTTGCGTGTCAGTCTGATATCCTACACTGAACAGTACATGGAGTACGACCCCTTTGTGACGAGTCCAGAGCCATCCAACCCCTGGACCAGCGATGACCCTTCCTTCTGGGATCTGGAGGTCAGGTAGGAAATGGGAGGCCACTGATCATCATCTCTGTGAATAGTGTGGTTTCTACACATCTTTCACAATAAAGATTAAATTTTTTTTTACAAATACCATGTTTTTGGAAGTACCAGTTTAAGTTTGGATTATATTACATTCATTATTACAATGTGACGTCCCACTGTTGCTCATAAATGTCGCAAATGCCTTAAAGGAGAGCAAAGCAGATGGTAAATAATGCTATTAATAGATTAGTGCACAGTATAGTTGAATGTAAACTACACTTGACCTACTCAATGCTTTTAAAAGCCATTGTAATTTTTCCACTTCACTTCTTCTAATGTCAACATGTGGTTAGATTGATGTTTGCATAATTTACAACCATGGCTTCTGAAGGCATATTCCATCTTTGCTGGTGAATCTTGGCTGCCGTACATCTAAAGCCACACTCGTATGTCTTTAAAAGTGAAACACAATATCTTATGTGAACTTTTTGGGGAAAGAATAAATGCAGCGACCCATTTATAATGTTTAGATATCTTTTTAAAACCCTATTAACATTTTTTAAACCAATTACCTCAAAGCTTTTGTTTTTCTGATTGCAGCCTTAATAATGTTATTTTATAAGACTGTAATAAAAAAATGGAGGGAAATTGACTCATCTTAATCAATATCAAAGAACTCTGTTCATTTTTAAAACTCTTTGTGTCAAGACATCTTTACAGCTCTTACCAATTTGAACCATAATCTGAGCTGCTAGCCACTCTGAATTATGCAGAAATTAATTGGATCTGGCACATAATCATTGTGGCTAATGTGATTTAATAATTCATCAGCATTGATTAATTGCAGGCATGGGAAAAAATATTCCCCGTAGTGACTCAAAATGATGAGAGTTGAGATGCACATTGTCATAACACACAGCTTTTGTAGACATGTATCACATCAACATTAGCCCTCTCAGACAGCTCAGAGACTAATCAGATTTTCTATTTAAAAATAACTTACCTCTTCCTCTGTCACTGTGCCCCTCTCTGTCAACTCCCTGTTCTTTAATCCTCTTTAGTTCCTTATTAATCTTGACTTTTTAGTTTTACAGCTTTTTTTCTCCCCAATCCCACTAACTCTGTCTCCACCCTCCTCAATGTTTCCCAGCAAGGAGCCCAGTCAGCAGAGGGTGAAGAAGTGGGGTTTCTCTCTGGAGGACGCCCTGAAGGACCCAGCAGGACAGGAGCTCTTCCTCAAGTTTCTGGAATCTGAATTTAGCTCCGAAAACCTGAGGTGAGCTCTAAACACGCTTCAGGAATCAGCTCCAGTGTTTTTAGAAGAACATGAGTATAAATTAGTCTGGTTGTCATCGTGTGGATTAATCCTGCTGTGCACGGTGGTAAGAAACTTTATACATTTGATTGTGACGGGAAGCCAATACATTTAATATTTTTAAGTGTGCTTTTCATGAAAAAACATGGTTACTAAATTAATTTGGATAGGCTTTTTATTGTTGGAGTGTAGATCTTAAAAAAAAAAAGATTGTTTCATAAATGAGGCTGTGGATAGTTCGTACAGAATGCAGGGATCAGAGTGGAAAGGCCTTTATCAAAGTGAGGCTTAGCAAACTGGAAAACATCATTTGAGAAAATATACATTAAAAGAGATGTTTTATGAAACTCTAAATATGTACAGAATCAATTAGGAATGGACCAAAATGACCTCAAGTTTGCAGAAAAATGGATTTAGGTGTAAAAAGGAGTCATTATTGAATAACATGCACTGATTCACCTGGGCTGCATTTCCATGACTGGCATCCAGATATTAAAAAATCATTTTTTTTAACTGACAAAACATATTTCCTCCCTGGGTTGTTGCTGTTCTACAGAAGATTAGATGGATGATTTCCGAATGAATGTGCTGCTCCTCTCTGCAGCTGCACGGCTCAACAGCGCTAAACAAACCCATTAAAGCACAAGCTGAGCTTCAGCTGAGAAGATATTCAAATGGATTGTTTTTATTTATACGCTAGAACACAAACGCTGTAAAATAAGGAGAAGGTGATATCCTCTTTTCCTTTTACAACTGGGGCTCTTCTCGTCAGTTCTGGGGTTGAATCACTAAGGATTTTGTAGTTCTTGCCGCATCTCCTCAACTAATTGAAGCTACATGAATATCTGAGGTTTAAAGCTGTTTACAAGCTGTAGCATCTTAAAACGAACAGATTTATGAGCTATTCTGGACATTAAATCTGATCTGAAGCAAAAATGAAACGCTTGGTCAGAAACCCTGAGTACTGCGAGCCTAACAGCTTCGTGTGAACCGTCTTATTTTAGGATGTTTTCAGGGGAGGGAAAACGTCTCTGCACTCTGTTTAGCTCCTGATTCCAGAAGTGGAAATGAAAGGTCCTGTGGTTATGTTTCCTACAAAAAAGTGACAATTTGTTCTGCTTAGTTTGAAATGAAATGTGTTATGTAAGCCAAATTGAAAATCTTAGTTGTGTAAGAAGAATCTATTTATGCTTCTTCTCTCTTGCTTGTGCAAATAAATGGTTTATTATTTTACTTCTGTTGAGCTAGAAAAACTGAAGTAGTTTGAATCAGGTTTCCAGGGGAAGATACATTTCTAAATGCTGAAGAACAAGGGTGAGGGGGTTCACTTTCAGGGACAAGCATGTTTGATAATGGTTCTGAAGCTTTTACCTTCTGTGATTTTCTTGTTATTTTGATAGCTTTCTTTCTCCGACCTTCAATTTCAATCCACTTTTACACCCAGGAGTGAAAGTACAATTTAGTGAATGCAAAAAAAGAAAGTTTTGCAGATGGGGATAATGATCCAAGATGAAAAAGTCGGCATCTTTTTTATTCCAATCAGGTCATGATCAAATGGGCAATCGCCTCACAAAACTGCAGTAAAGCCTTGTGTGGTTTGCTTATTCATTTACGGACGATTTTCATCCATCCATTCATCATTTCTTTGTGAATTTCAAGTGGAGGTGACTCCTCTAAGTTAATGAATTAAAAAAAAAAAAAGTTCAGGTTGATAAACGTTTTGATTTGCAGAGAAAATATTAAATTCATTTCTCATTTAGACACACAGATTCACACACTACATCATAGGTACTTTATGTACCAGAGCAGCAATATCTGGAGCAGTTTTTGTACTGTGCGAGTTGGAGAAATGAGTTTGGAATGGCAGTCCAGAGATGAATCAATCATGTGGAGGTTGATACCGCCGAGTCGGATAAAACGCATAGAAACACACATTCAGTGCGACGGTGAGAGATGTATATCACCGCTCACCCTCTGGCTGTCCCACCAGACTCTCCCTCTAATCTCTGGGCCCTTAATTGTGTTTGTTTTTATGAGGGAGCTTCTGGAAAAGCCCTACAGAAACAGAAAGTGAGAGAGAGGAGCAGACCCCAGAGGTGTGCTTCTATATTGCCCAACCGGTCCACAGATCAATATAGATAGAAACTAATATTAAAGGCCGTCAGCCAGCAGCTATCTGCTGCCTCTGTCTAACGCAGTCCAGCCTCAGTACATTTTGTATCTAAAAAAAAAAGTCTTTTTTTTGCCCTAGCCACTCATTCATGCTCAGCTTAGAGACTGAACTCTGTAGAAATACAACTTTACAGACAATAAAGAATACGGAATTAAAAAGCACAAACTGTTAATGTCACCTAAATGTCCACTAATGGTACTTGAACATGTTGCAGATTCTGGCTGGCAGTGCAGGACCTGAAGAGGATTCCCCAGCAGGACGTGGCCCAGAGGGCTCAGGACATCTGGGCGGAGTTCCTGGCAGAGGGAGCTCCCAGCTCCATCAACCTGGACTCTCACAGCTATGAACGAACCAGCCAGAACCTGAAAGACCCCGGGCGATACAGTTACGAAGATGCACAGGTGGGAAAAGATGAGACGCACAGAAAGATGGATTAGTACTAATGCCTTTGTTTCATGTGTAAATGAGCGGAAACTCAACATGAAATTAGAGTTCCTTCTTAATGACCCTTTGAACCAAAACAAACTCAATAGCAACA